TGGGGCGAGAGTAGTGTTTCAGAGCTAGGTTCCTCAACAATGCGATGATCGAAAAAATGTTTGAGGGCCCGGAGACCTTCGTCATTGGGAATGACAGTGTAAAGAGATGTTATATCTGTAGTGAAAATAAGTTTGTTTTGGCCGAGGAAACTTAAGTCACGAAAAATTTCAAGTGCGTGTTGGCTGTCCTTAATGTAAGACGGTAGAGTTTTGACGATAGGTGCCATAATTTTGTCTAAATAGCTGGAAATAAGTTCGGTGGAACAACTGCAAGCAGAAACGATGGGTCGACCTGAGTTGTTAGGTTTTTGAATTTTAGGTAAAAAGTAAATACACGAAGTTCTAGGAGTGGTAATGATGAGATTTTTAGCAGTGGCCGGCAATTCTTGTGTAGCTATAAGATAGTTAATCGTATTTTTGACAGTGTTTTGGTTAATTGAAGTGAGATCTTTGTCGACTTAAGCATAAAGCTGTACTAAATAAAGAAGACGTTTGAAGAATATTAGGCTTTAATCACCAAGACTCTTACCAATACAAAATATAGCAGCCAACTGTGACCACGGGGATTGCAGGTTTATATAGCAAAGTCAAACCACAATACATGTACAACACAACGAATTATAATGTAACGCAGTACGTCACACAACACTCGCAATGTTCAATTGTCTCCAGTTTCTAGTTTCGTTCGCAATGTCATTTACACCACAAAAGCTACGCCAATCTTTTTGTAGGTTTCATCGAACATCAATACGTGACAAAAACAACTTTTTAGTCAGGAGTTCATTTCAAACCAATGACCAATCTGGAACGTTCAAATGCGCTCGCTCACGATGCAAAATTGAAGAAACGTAAAATGGTTTCCGTGTTTACATAGCCTGCTGTAAACACGCGGGAGGTTGGGAGAACACGAGATAAGCGTTGGAAACTACGACGCGAAGCGGAGTGGCTTCCAGCTTATCGAGTGTTCTTCCAACCTCCCAAGTGTTTACATCAGGCTATGTTAACACGGAAACCATTTTACATTTCTTTTATAAAATAACTAATGAAAGAGGAACGAAAACCGTGTTTACATACGCTCATGTAAAATGGTTTTATGGCCAATCAGAGCGCGCGTACTATTTGAATTATGTTATAATTGTTCTTTCATTCATAACGTAGAGAAAATATCGGGACCCAAGAGATCCATTAAGATCACCGATCACTAAACGTGTACCTCCGCCAATATTATTTACTGCATAACTTGCACTTATTGCAATAAGTTATACACCGGCGAAACAGGAAGACGACTAGGTGACCGATTCCGAGAGCACCTTCGCGACGTGGAAATAAATGACAAGGACACATTCAAACCAGTCGCTAGACACTTTAACCTTCCTAATCATTCTAAAGAGCATACGGCAGTTTGCGGCCTTTCCTTACATCTAGGCAGTTCGGAAAGCCGTAAAACACTAGAACAAAAATTTATCTTCCAAATCGGCACCCTTAATCCCCACGGAATCAACGAGCGCTTTTTATTCAACTAATTTATTCCTGTTTTCTCGTCACCATATTCCCACCGATGGCGTAGCTCCACTTTCTGCATATAAACCCAACCACAACCCACAATTCCTCCAACCGTAGGCCTAAAAAACACTACAAAATGTGATTTCATAAGAGATGCAGACGCGCCCTTATGATTGAAAAGAATAGGTTTGTAAGACAGGATCTGTGTAAAGTACCTTGCACAGATAATAGACTTGTTGTGTAATTACAAGATAATTCTTTCAAATACAGTACAGTTTTACTGTCTCTATTGTTCTTTAAGTATTAAATTGGAACATATACAGCGGTTTTTAGATGCTTTTCTTTTTAAAAAAGCTCGTTTGCGGTCAGTCGGTTTAGATCAACAAACTTAATGATAAAGCTTTCGGATCTGTTTACGCATCTAAAATAGCAACACTTATAGTCCGTAGCAAAGCTGTGTAATCTCGAAGACTTAGGAATTAATGTACCAATCCACAACTTCAGCTTTCTTCTAGCTTTTCTTTTCTTCAAGGACCTAAACACCTGCTTTATGGACATTCTGGAGTGCTCTCGGTCTCTACCTCGTTTCGCTTCCCTCGGATTTAGAGGGAGTTCAGAAGTTCTTGTCGCACTTGAAGTCAAAAAGCGCTTAAGAGTCGATTTCAGAGTCGATTTCAAGAAATCGACGCTTATGTTTTAACAGTACTTTCAATACGGCTTTGGCTACATAAATATGCCACAGCTTTTGCAATTAATCACAGAAAATTCATAACTCACGGAAATTTCAGTTCTACCCGAGTAGGTTTTGAATTTGTAGATCTGCAAAGTACATTTCCCAAACTGGACTTTGTATTCGATCCCTTCACGGCCTTTAAATTTCCAGAATATTTGGGATCAATCATCCTCAAAAGGAGGTCAATCATGACCAATCAGGACTCAAAATCTCTCAATGCTTGCTTGGAAGTGCCGCGCTTTCATCGAAGCGTCTTCATTCAGCTTTTGGCGACGACGACAACAAAGATCGAATACTTAGAGCATATTAAAGGCATCTTTCAAAACCTATTATTTGGCCAAATTGACTCCAACTTCGAAAACTGCGGCATACTAAAATACTTATTTTAGAGAATTTCATTTTAAAGTTCGAAAAAGAGAAAAGGTTCACTTACCAAATTTCCTCGCTGTCCTACCGCTGTTCCTACGCTTAGCAATCTCAACAAAAAGTCGTCTTAATAGTCCGCCCTCGCGTTTAATTTGTTCCGATTACTCCAAAAGTTTCTTTTCCTAAACTTAAAAGGTTGATTATCGTCACAAGTGGTCATTACGTTTATTTACCGATGTGGTTACGCATTTCTAACATTTTTCTGCTAACTACTCACTTTATCTGCTTTTAAGCTGAAACGTAATGTAGACTTGGTAAAAACCTTTTGAGTGATACATATTTTTTTGCTTTATATTACGTATTCATCCAATTTTCTCTCAGTTCTCCATACTGTCTACGTGTTTCGCATTAGAGATTAAAAACGGAGACCACAAAATATCTTTGTTTAGGGTCTCCTGGAGATAAATTGGAGTTTTGTTTTGCTTTCCGCGGTAAAATTAAAAACGCTCGTGCCGAGGCGCCAGTTATGAGGGCTCACACGCAGGTAATTGAAGTCTTATTCGCAGCCGTTGTTTGGTCTCGTCTCGCCACGGGATCGGGGAGAGAGAAAGTTGTGTGACGAGACTAAACAACGGTTGGGAAGGAGACTACTGTAAGCGTGGCACAAATGCAGTTTATTTCTGCTGACTGGATTGTTCAGACAACAGTGACAACAGACCACAAAATACCAGTGTCTGACTTTATTTCATATTAATTGGAAGGGTCTTCTCTAAATCTATAAAGTGCAAAAATATTATACCGTAGAGCTGTCCTAGACAACAGAACAATGAAAGATCTCGACACTTAGCTAAAGTTCTTGGATTCATCAAAGATCCTACATCATTTGACGTTGATGGACAAAACAACTAGCTTAAATTGGTTTGGCCTACGCTATCCTCTTTATTTCCTTGCGACATTTGTGAAATTTCCAGTGAAAATAGCATGAGCATTTGGCAAATACCTACGATGACAAAGGTTAAGTAATTGAGGGAATTGTTCTTAGGGATCCTTTGACAAAGAGAAATGTTTGGTTAAAACTACAGACTCAAGACAGGTTTGAATTAACTTATATAACTTATATAACGCGCAAAGTAATTTCATTAACACAAACAAGACATGATTGTATGGTGTTTGCGTAGCCGGCCCTTAATTTCATAGATCGTGCACGCAGCCAAAATTGCTGTATCTACACAAACCTGACAACACAGTAGGTGGTGTACAATGGGCTATCAGAATTAATGTTGTTAAAAGCACACGTTGTAAATGTGGCTGTAGTCCAAAAGAAATATTTTTCGAGCTGTAAATATATTTAGGAGATTGGAAGTTTCAAGAATGTTTAAAGATAAGGCCCCGTCCATACTTATCCGGATAAATTTGAAAACGGATAAATATTTATACGGTTACGGGTTCCGTCCACACGTAAACGGCGTTTTCACACACCCAAAACCGGATAAATTTGAAAACGCTCTCCAGAGTGGATAAATTTGAAAACGCTGGCTAGGCGTCTCTGTGTGGACGCCTTATCCGGATAAATATTAAAACGATTTGAAAACGATTTGAAAACGATGACGTAACAAGAAAATGGAAGTAAAATAAAATTTGAATTTCTCATCATTCTGGCACCATCACCATTGATTTTGATTTTGATTTTATCAGTGATGGGATCAAAGTCTCTGTTTTGCTTCAGGAAATCAGAGATATGTATTTTAAACACTGTTTCAACAGAAGTTACTTTGGCCCCTTCAAACTTAGCATTTAGTGGTTCAATTTTTCACATTTTGTTCAGCTCATCACGGCATTGTTTGACGTTTACGTGTGGACACCAAAACGATTCACAAACGGCAACGTGTGGACGCGGATAAATTTGAAAACGGATAAATATTTATCCGTTTTCAAATTTATCCGGATACGTGTGGACGGGGCCTAAATCTGATGCAATACACAAAACCTCCCTTTCCGAAAAGCATTGTGGTTCTTGGGGCGCTCAATAGTTTAACGTGAGTATTTCTTTTTTCTAATTTTCAGGGGAACAACAATTATGTCAGTCATATCCTCAGTAGATCTGTCAGATCTTAAGTCTTCCGCCGAGAAAACAAATTATGACCGAATTGCTCGACTTTTGTATCGTGGAGGTAAGACATTGCTTAAAGAGACGTTTGATTCCATTCACCCTCCGAGTATGCTTCCTGCTGTACTCCAACATCCTGTGACTAAGGATTCTCTACCCTCTTTGTACCAAGATGAATATCAACGCCTTTACCCATCACCGGGAAAGTATGGGAAATCTGAGGATTTTGACATAACCTTACTCTTTAAGCTGTTGCGATCAATTTGCTATCTTCCTGCTCCTGCCTCTGGCTGGAATTGCTGTCCTATCAGTAGTAACCAGACCGTATCTGATGATATAGCCAGAATTAGATTTTATCGCAATAAAATCTGCCACACCAAAGACATGGAAATAAATGATGCAAATTTCTTGCATATGTGGGGAGAAATTAGACGTGCTTTGGTCAGGTTAGCCAAGAGTATCAGCGCAGAGATGGAAAAGAAATGGCAGAGTGCAATTGATAATTTTTTGACAGCTCCCCTTACGCCAGATGATGAGAGAAACATTCACGAGTTGAAAGAGTGGTACTTTGAAGATAAAGAAGTTAAGAAGGAGCTGGAAGAAGTTAAGAGAAAGCTTGAAGACATGGAAGTGGCATTCAACGATTGTGGTATGATTTCATAAAAATTGAGCTAACGACCCCCCTTCTCCCCCGGAATTTTGTAATCAGCATTTCCAATTTCTTGGTATCTATTGATTGGTTGGCCTTTGCATCAATTAATGTATTGTAAGCATCATCTCGAAATGGTTGAAAAAATTTTTAAAACTTTTGTTGTACTTGACAGTAACGATGATGGTCGTTTGTGGAAAAATGGCGCATAAAGGTGTAGAAGCTGGCAACCAAGAAACTCCAAGATGCTCTCCGAATGATGTGTTAGCCACAATTGCGGACAAATACGTGAAGTCAGTAAATCCAAGCAGTCCAGAAGAATTTAAAACTTTTGCAGAAATAATGGAAAGATTGCAGCTAGTCATCGTTGGAAATAAATTGGGAAGCTTGCTCATAACAGTCAAGTGTAACTCACTTCAGATTCTGGAAAACCTTTGGAAAGAGTATTGTTCAGGCCATCTTGGTAAAATGGTACAAAGCTGCTTTGCATCAGAGTATATTCTGAGAAAGTTTCACTTATCCGCACTTGAGCTCAAAACAACCATCAGAGAGGAGGATTATGAAGCATGTAAACAACACTTCAAGAAAATTTCAGGTTAGTTATATCGATCAATTTCAAGATGACACTCAGTTAGTAATAAATCATTATTAAATCAATCTGCATCCATCAAAGATGTGCGCAAAACTATGTTCTGCTTTAATTTGAAACATTTGCACTCACAATTCATCAGTAATTATGTTATATTTCAATATTACATAAAAACTTTATCTAAAATTGCTGAGTGAACTGCCGGCCAGAAGGGCCGGGCGTCTCTTTTGTAGTAGATCACAGGTGATGTCAAAATGTGGTAAGAACAAAAGAGGTGGACGCAAGGCGCAGCTGAGGGTGCTACGTATGTTCTTACCACATTTTGACGTCTTCTGTGTCTTTGGTCTGACGTCTTTTGTGTCTTTGATCTTTCCTTCATAGGAGAGACTTTAACTCCAAGTGTTAAAGAAGGCACTATCCATGATGATGAAAAAGTGAAGCCTACCAGCCCCGATATGGGAGACAGGGATAGCATGAAAGGTGTGAGCCAAACTTTGGTTTCTCGTACACGGATAGCATAGATTGCAAATTTAGTTAATTTGAAAACCTTGCTTGTTTATGTCACAAATAGTGAAGTGAGACATATTCCATGTAAGCATGCTAAAATTGCACTCAACAACCAAGCTTGTGGATTATGGGTGAAGACATTTGGTGGCCGCAATTCTTGATCATTCAACTATCATGATTAGATAGGTCTTGAATAGACCTCTCAGTTCTTAATGTTCAAGCTGTGAGACCACCATAACATCTCATATCAACTGCATCGGTCGGAAAGGGCTTCATAACAATATTTCTAAATACGTTTTGTCACCCCCTGTCGTAAGGATGGGAGATCTGTTGTCTTATGGATGTAAGTCTGCGAACTTCCATCAATTGGTTTTTCTTTAGAATTATCTTCCCTGAGCTCAAAGCTGTTTGCTCGACTTGGAATGCTTCACACTGTATCAAGCGAAACATCTTTCCTTCAACATCCTTTATTTCTTCAGGCTATAGCTCCATGCATACATTTCCAATGTCTACTTTGCATGCTATGCTCGAGGGAAAAGTACCCTATGAATATAGTTCTTCCCTTGACATTGCGTTTGAGATTGCATTTCAGAAGACTGATAAGGTGGCTTTCATTTAGCAGTCAAACACGGTGATAAAAAAAAGCCTTAAATATACCAAATTTAACGATAAAAATTGAATTTGGAAAGTTACTAACATTTCAAAGATGAAAATGCATTTCGTTTGATTTCTATTTGTGGGCTCATGTTGTCAACTCCTTTTTTCTCCATCTTCTCTAGAGGATGTTAGCTTGCATACAGTTAGTATGGAGAAAGATACCATTTCTGAAAAAGAGGAAGAGAAGCTGACAAGCCAGCGCGCGATAGGCGCTGACATAAAAGGTAGTTATTTTTAAAGGATTACTTTTTTACTTGTGATGAATTAGAAGGGGGTCACACGGCATGATGCACGCAGATACATTCAAACAGTTAGACTCTTTAAACAGGACGGACTGGACGCAAACGGTCAACTAGTAATATCAGTTAATTCCTTCAGTTCAAACATGTAAATTATCTCTAATTTAAAATGCAGCAGTGTTACTATGAACTGCTGCTTCTCTCATTAGCATTGTCTGAATGCCAGATTACAGCGTCTTTATTGATTCTGTAGATTTACAAAAAAATAGAATTAGGCAAAACCTAACCTTAGATCCAGTCAGTCGTTTCCTGCCCCGTCATCGCGGACTTTTTATGTTCACAAAACCCCTGCGATAAGTACTTTACGGAGAAAGTTCTCTCATTAAAGGAGGTCGCTACATGTATATAGTGGTTGGTGATGATGGCCTCTAATAAAAGGCAATGGCAAAATGAATGGATACTGCTAAGATTATGTCCTCAGTTTTGTATTGGGATGAAAGGATGTTGTGATTCCAACACACAACCCACAATTCCTCCATTCGCTCTAACTAAATGCTAACGCTCGAAACGTCAGCTTAGAGAATCTTTGCGGTGGCCAATTTACATCATCAACTCAGTTGATAGAATCAAATTATCTTTTTATTCACCCCCATCGACGCAGCACCACGGTTTCTTTAGCAACTTACTCTCCCTACTTACCCACCGATTTTTTAACTACCTAGCTAAATACCCGCTGACTTACTTACCTGCCTACTTACCTTCCTGCAACCCAGGGTATCTATCTATCTATCTACCAAACTACCGACCTACCTATCTACCAACCAACAAACTTTCCTGCCAATTTACTAAACGACCTTTTTATCAACCTTTGTAATTTGCTTTCCCAACTAACAGTATATGGAAAAATTATCGATACAAGAGAGCTTATACCATATCGCTATCTAGCAAAATCACACAATGATTTAACAAGGGTTTATTTTGTCTTGATTAGTTCAAAATCGTGGATTAACATGAATGTTAAATTCCAAGAGAGCAGACAGCTGTGAGACCTCTAAACGAAGTAATATGTTTCTTAAGAGTGTGTCCACGAGAGCACCATCTCACCGATTTCGATGAAACTTTGCCAGTTTAAAGGGTCTACCCCAAAACTAAAAAAGACAAACATTTTTCTGTTTTGGTTATTTCCGGGGGGAGACAGACCACCCACCGATTTTTCTTGGTTTTCACTAGAGAAATCGCATCAAAATAGGTAAAATGCATGAAGCTCTCACTGCTATGGTATTTAACCGATTACTCTGAAGGTTTGCATACATATTATTACATCCTCAGCAAATATTCGACGCAAGTATCAGTCAATTCGATTGACGGCTTGTCAATCAACAGAGGCAAATAAATGACTGTGTTTTTGGACTTTTCGATTCATCCAAATATTTGACGACTTTGAGGTCAAATATCTCCCCTTGCCAGAAAGCTACAACGCTATTTTTAATTCTCCTTTATTATCTAGCATTTCATCTCTGAAAACCATCAGAAAAATCTTTGGGCACTACCGATCGTATTTTTGTCTTGGATGCCTTTTAAAATCTGCGACTGTGACAAGCTTCTCTCAACTACAGCTGTCACGCAATTCTGGCTCTAGGCGGTCACTTGACCAAATAAACCTACATTTTATAGCTTTTTGTACAAGATGATTAATCAAGAAGGCTAAAAAATGGGAAAAACTTTCGATATTTTAGGTAGGAATGGAAAAATTCACGTTTAGAGGGATGCATATAGGCGAAAAATCAATAGGAAAATCGTAGCGTTTTCTGTCGTTTATTACTTTAGAGATTTGCTGCAATCAGCAAATATGGTTTTTGTGTTGCACAAAACATTCATTAGTCTCTAATTTGATTGTTTATCATCATAATTGCTCATTTTAGAAGATTTTAAAGTCACACGCTGCGTGTTGGTTGACATTATTACATGTTCCAAAGTGCGACAACTTCGGCTTTTACAGACGAGAAATTCTGCGCTCTCGCTCGAGAGGAGATATCAATAGCTCTATCAAACTAAAAACTGTGCTGCTATTTGGGAAATAAAATTTAAATGGAGTTGTCGTTGTCATTTACTGCTACCGAACATTTCCATGCAAAACTCCGTCAAACAAACAACTGTGGCTTGACCTGAAAACTTTTCGTAAGAATTATTCAACCGCGTTGTTCATGCTAGCTGTCTGCTAGATAATAATTTCAGAATATTCTGCAGATCTCTATGTTTGTTTGATTGCTTCGATTCGATCGTAAATTATCTGCATTTTTTTTTCAAGCATTTTATTACTACATGTAAATCTACATCTCCCTCGATCGAGTGTTGCCGGCGTTTAATTGCGTGACTTGTAAAATTAATTAAAGAATGAGCCAGATCAGAGAACCCCTGTTATTTAAAACTGTATGTTTCAAGAGAATGTGTTTTATTTGTTATTTATTGCCCTTAGAACATGAAACTAGGTCCCGATAAGTTTTTTGTTTCGTGACTCCCAGAAACTGTGTACAATAACTACAAGTAAAAACTACAAATCAAATGCACGCTTAAAAAGATAGGTCTTAAGATTAGCCTTAAAAACTGCCTCTGATGATGAAAGCCTGATCTGGTGTGGTAGTTTATTCTAGAGCCTTGGTGCCCTTTCAGCATACGTTTTGAGATTCGCTCTAGGTTCTAGGCTCTAGGCTCATCAATGGAATGTTTTATAACAGCCCGAGGAAAAAGCAAAATTGAAACAACTGGCGTATCGGTCAAATCAATTCCAATTTATTCAACAAGGAGTTGGTAAGTTCATTTTTCCCAGTTAATTTAAGAAGGGGTCGATGTTTTGTGACTGCCGAAGATAGACATCTCTGAGACGTCATGTAACTTTCAAAGAGTTTACACTTCCAGTAATAGTTTCCTCCCTCTCGCAACAGCGCAACAGACATTGTTAATCCTGTGTAGTGTAGGTGTATCAGTTGTATTACGTCTTCATAGGGATGCCACATAAGTAATCGAGTGTCTAAAAAAGCCGTCAATTCAACCTAAAACTCGAATTGATAGAGTCAAGATAGCGCAGTTGTCTTGTTCATTTGCAACTAACTAAATGGTATTTTTCTCGCGCTGACCAGGGACGGCCAACAGTTCATACCCCTAAATTCTTGGGTGTACAGCATAAAAGAACATTTGAGAGACGTCAATGTATCCCAAACATGTGTTTCGTCCAAGAAGCTTATTCCAGCTCGTATTGGCTCATTTGGAGATTAGGAAGGCCGCGATTTCACGATATGCCTCAAATATCGTGCACAAATTGGGGTTTAGATTCAGACTTTCGGGTTCGTGAAGGCTAGTATCCTCCTCTTAAAAATCGGAGACGTAAATTTGAGAGAGGTAAATCTGAAGATGGCAGAAGAAATCAAAGTTGGTGGCGAGTCTGCCTGGTGGCAAGGTGACTGTAAATCTAATAGAATGCGTACTGTAACTGTTATTTTAGAGTCAATGAATAAGGAAGAAGGGCAAGAGGAGCGCTTATCTGAACATCAGTTTTCCTTAATGGTGATTTGTGACTGTGATGAAGTTTATATCACAAGATTGCTAGGGATACGAAGATACTGTAGAGGCCTTCACATAAATAGAGGCGGGCGATCCTCCCTCTGTCTTTGGAACTGCGACAAGCTTATAGCGCAGACCAACTGGCACAGTTTGGAGCACCTCAGGGCCTCACTAGACTAATCACATTAGAAACCTTCAACAAACTGATCGTAGAAGCGAGTGGTTATCAACGTGCACAGATCTCTGAACCCGGGTCATCGCAAGAAATCGATCTGTCACAGACAGAACAGGAAAGGGAGATATTCCTGTTAAGAGGAAGGATGTATTGAGACGTTTCAGTCATTCACTGCCATCTAGGCCAAAAGCACCTTAACATAGGCAAACACAAAGTGAAGCTGACAAAAAAATCTGCCTATGATGAGATCACGAGGAAATGGACGGTGGCTTGCCATTCTGTTAGGGGTGGCTACGTTCAAGGACGGACCTCAGGTAAAATTCTGACGAACAATCCCTAACTAGCCAGGTGGACTTTGGATGGGCTCTTTGGGAAACACAAAAATCAGCTGCCTTTTCTCAGAAAGCAAAAAATTATCTCTTAGACGTGTGCTGCACAAGGGAGGGAACTAATGCGGCAACCGCCTCCAATGTGGCTTCCCAACAGAGAGTTTAAGAGACTACACCGGCCAGAAATGTTGTCTAAGACTGACTGGTTGATAGAGCAGCAAATCGCTCGATACTTCAGCCGGTTATCTGCCCTAACAAAAACTGGTTTATTGAAGAGGTCACCCTCTGTAATAACGAGGCAGAAGATAAGGATTTAGACGAAGGCAGCAGGAGTGGGTACAACTGCTATTAGGCTACAAAAGATAAAGACCTCTGCATCTCACTTTTCTTTCAAATTTATCGTCTTTGCCTACGAAAACAACTGGCTATGTCTTGGGATTTTTCGTAAAGAGGAATTTGCAGGAAGCCCATCGGTCAAAATATTGCTGGCTCATTCTTTAATTAATTTTACAAGTCACGCAATTAAACGCCGGCAACACTCGATCAAGGTAGATGTAGATTTACATGTAGTAATAAAATGCTTGAAAAAAAAATGCAGATAATTTACGATCGAATCGAAGCGATCAAAAAAACATAGAGATCTGCAGAATATTCTGAAATTATTATCTAGCAGACAGCTAGCATGAACAACGCGGTTGAATAATTCTTACGAAAAGTGTCCAGGTCACGCCACAGATGTTTGTTTGGCGGAGTTCTGTATGGAAATGTTCGGCAGCAGTAAGTGACAACGACAACACCATTTAAAATTTTATTTTCCGAATAGCAGCGCAGTTTTTAGTTTGATAGAGCTATTGATATCTCCTCTCGAGCGAGAGCGCATAATTTCTCGTCTGTAAAAGCCGAAGTTGTCGCACACTGGAACATGTAATAATGTCAACCAACACGCACCTTTAAACTGGCAAAGTTTCACTGAAATCGGTGAGATGGCATGTAGCATGATTGCCTGGTTCACTCGTGGACACACTCTTAATGTGCATTCCCAAACATGACACTGTTTCCTAAGAGAACCGTCCTCTGGGTAGAGCCACCAAACACAGTGAGAGATAATGATATGTTGATCTCACATTATCTTTTCTCTGTTTATAGGCTTCAAATGCTCTTATGATCAGAAGAAACTTGACCTGATTATTGTCGTTGACTGTTCTACGGCTGACATAAAATACCTGAGGAGTCTAAAAAGTCAGCTGAACAAAATGATACAGATATGCAGCAACGGAGATTATGACTTCCGATTTGCATTAGTAGACTACTGGGACCAACATGCGATGACGAACTACTATGCCCGAGTTCAAAACTTTACAAGAGATGTAAAGGAAATGAAATCTTACATAAAGAAGCTTCGTCAAAGGAGAACTGGATTCATGAAAGGGATGGCTTACGGCTTGGCACAGGTCTCATCTGAAGATAATGGTGCACGTTCAGAAGCTGCCAAGCTGTGCATTTTGCTGCGTAAGTATGTAAATCTATGTGGCCTTTAGGGGCCCTCGCTAGCATCTTACTTCTACGTTAAACTGTTGCTATGCAAGATTAGCATTACAGCAAGTTTCGTAATCTGTGTTTACGTTCTTTTCAATTAGAATTAAGTTTTGCACGAATACCAAAATACTTAAACTCAAATGGAAAACTTTTGTTGTGTCCGTATTCAGTTAAATCCATTTAACATCGTGTGTTCTTGCTACTACAGTGGAACCCTGTTACTACGGTCACCAACTGGCCAAAACAAATTTGCCGTACTAAAGTGTTGGCCGTATTACACAATCAAATTTCTTAATCGCTTCGCAAGTTGCCAAGGGGGATGTTAGCGTCAAGATTTTTAACTTCATGCCTGTAATGAGAACAGGGAAGAGTGTTGCTTACTTGTAAATAAATCAGCTGTTTGATTAGTAAATGACAGATGTCAATGAAATCGACCTGTCAGTTTTCAAATTTAGCGCTGGTGGCCGTATTAACGGGGTGAAAATTTAAAGGATTCTCCTGTATGGGATTTTCAAATTGTCGAAAGTTTTTATAAGAAATTGTATGGCCGTTTTCCCGGGCAATAAAAAGTGGCCGTATTTAGGAGGTGCCGGAGGTACCAGAAACCTTACTTAGCTCGTGAAATAACTTATCTATCGCTAAGAAGCTCAGAGGTCGCTATCTCTAAAAAAATAATCACGTTTGCTTTGGATGTTATGCAATTTAGCACCCACCATAAGCTAAAACAGATAACGGAAAGTACACGGAAAATACACGGATACAAATTTTATTTTTGATGGTGCTTGTGGTTTTTCTTGTTTAGTAGTAAAAAGAACTTAAAAATAATACAAAAGCGTAAAAGTATGTTGTTTTCAAAGTTCCTATTTCTTATCAGATATAACTAGGAAAAGCGATGAGAAAGAATAGAAAAGTTTGGAACATGTTTGTGAACTTAATTAATTCAACGAAAATGATGGATATTAGTAACAGCAGAGTAGCGCAGTAGTCCCCTGAGGTATTCCTTTGTTTGTAAGAGAAAGATTAAAACCATTTGCATGCTTCTGTTAGTCGAGTGAATTATACTGATTTGTAACAAAAAGAGGAAGCATGGCGGTAATCTGTCCTTACCATGTAAAGGGAATAATACTAGTGAACTACAAATCCACCACAAAGTTTATTGTTATATTTTTGCATTTTTAATAATTTTTTATTCCTTTCTTTCCTTTCTTTTTTCTCTCAGCCGTCATTGATGAAAGGAAGACTCTTGAAGTGTACAAAAGTACGGACGGGTACGATGTAATGCGACTTATCAGGCTGCTTGCCGAAAATGGCTTTGCACTATATACAGTGGGCATTAAGCACCCATTACTTTGCGATAGCTCAGATGGCGGTTCTCAACTCATCAGCGACTTTCTAACCGGAATTTCTCTCAAGTCCGGTGGCTCTTTTGTTCAAGTTTCAAGTGTCACACTCTTGTCTGAGGTAATTAACTATAGATCTGTTCTTGGTACCCTTTATATAATATGTAGTATACCTTACGATTATTATATGTGGCAGCGCCCGAGGGCAATTTAGAGCGAATCGTGCATGTCTTCTGATTGACTTCCTGAGCGGGCAAGATGGGGTCATCCATGAATACCAAAGGGAATAAGAACTTCAATTAAAATTAAAAATAAGTTGCATAAAACTTGAAATTTCAGCGAATGTAAATTTTATAGGAATAAAATAATTACTATTATGCGTTTACAACTTTAATTTTAAAGAAAATGAAAAAAACCTGACAAAGAATAAATGAATTATCACCAACCGTAGCAGATACCATGAAAGGAGAACGACACTAAAAGACCCAAATAGTATACTGATCCGTCACGTGTACCAAATACTTTAAATGAATATTTTGCAAGTGTTGGCACCAACCTAGCAAGAAATAAACTACCCACGGAAAGCAATGATATGGATTACCTCGATTCAATAAATTAAAATCGCCTGATTCTTCCCCTTTTTTCTAACCCATTTCCCCAGATGATGTTAAAAAACAAATTCTATCTCTATTTAACAACGAATCATATGAGTTATATATTATTGTCCTAACCAACTTCTTAAATGCTGGTACGATATTTTAACTCCTGTCGTGACGAAAATTTTCAATACTTCTGTGACGTCTGTATTTTTAAAAGTGAAGGCAAGACCGCTTCTAATTACCAACCAACTTCTCTCTTATCAAATTTTGATAGAATATTTAAAAAGCTACTGCACTGCGTAATGAAGGACTTTACATTACAGTGTGTCTTCCCTGAGGCACACTCCTCAGAGCATACGATCCTTGATTTTGTCGAAACTTTACGGAACAATATGGATGAGCATTATTTTTTTGTATGGTGTTTTCATTGATTTAAAAAAGGCTTTTGACACTTTCAATCACAAAATAAAACCAATTGTGGTTTTCGGGGAATTATCAACGATTACTTACAGTCTTATTTAACAATTCGAAGGCAACCAACTTAAATTGGATCGCAAGGATCAACTAAATGAATTTCTCCGTGGTACCCCTAAGGGTTTGGTTTTAGGACCACTCTTCTTTTTACTTTATGTAAATTACATTTATCTCTGTTCCAATGACCTTAACTTTTCCTTTTATTTGCGGATGACACGAATATCCTTTATGATGACAAGAATCTCAAGTCTTTCGAACAGACGGTCAATGCTGAACTGAGCAATTTGCACAACTGGCTAACGTCAAACAAATTAACTCTGAATACAAAAAAATTAAATCTTGTAATTTTTCGCCCTCGAGGAAAGAAAATCCATTATCTTCCACAAATAAGTATATTTAATGGTGAAACAAATAGAAGAGTCAGTTATACCATGTTTTGGTGTTTAAATCAAAGAAATCTCTCGTGTAAAAATCACATCGACTGTGTTACCATTGAAATAAGTAAGACCATAGGAATGGTTGCTAAGCTAAGATACTTTGTTCCATCATCTGTCCATGAATATTTATAAATCCTTAATTTTACCTTATTAACCCTATGTACTCTTTGCTTGGGCTGATGCGTCTAAAATCTATTTTAAAAGAAATTGTTGTTTTCCAAAAGCGAGTAGTAAGTTTCTTAAACTTTATTGATGAAAAAGAATATGCAATCCCCTTATTTGTAAATGAAAAATTCTACCTATTACCGAAGCTTTATGTAAATTAATGCTCGATATCCAGAACGACAGCACACCTTATTACATCGTGAAACTTTTTACGAGAAACGGTCAAACATCCATACCTATGCTACTTGCTTATCAACGTCACAGCCCTTTAGCGCTAAGTACTTTAAGATCAAAATGCAAAGAAAGGCTTATCCGCGTGTTGGTGTCAAAATTTGGATGAGATGCCTCATGAATATAAAAATTCGTCAAAGAAATCCTTCAAAAAAGAAAAAGAAAGAGCTCCTCAATATTCTAGAGGCTCAAGATTCTTATGTGGAGCCTGATGAGATAATGCTAAAATTCAAACAGCAAAATTGAAACAAATTGAACTACTTACATGATGTTTTTCGTAAACTTAAAAACTTTAGGACTTCTCCTTCTTTATAATGAACGTCTTCAGTCGCCCTTAATTTTTTCTTTTCTCGAGTGTATCTTTTAATGTCTTTTTATGTGTCATTTCTTTATTTGTGTATTATTTCCAGTGTAATTTAATTAACTTAAATTCAATTAAGTCACTGAAGAAAATGGACCCACCTCGATTAACATCTACTGCCTGCAGGTCAAAAGGAATATCTTATATATATATAGGAAAAGAAATAAAAGTGTGAAACACGAGATGAAGAGCCAGCGTTTCACACTTTTTCACAATGTGAATTATTTCAGGCTTCTCTTTTCGCAATTTCGCCAGTTACATTTCACTTGTGGGGATCAATTCGATACTTATTTGTTGTTAGCGGGTTTAAGCATGACGCTTATGAAGACCCCCAAAATTTACATCTGATCCGCTTGGGCTACAAGTTGGAACGTCATTTGCATCGATATTTTATGCTGAATATACAAGATAAATAAAAAGATGTGTTTAGAAGTTAGACTCCACAGTAATCGTAGAAAACATACGTTTACAGGTCGTTGATTGGCTTGTCAAAGAAGATATTGCTGTGGAAACCTTATTGGGAGTTGTTGAGGACATAATTGTTCTGCAAATGAAGTCTAGCCCTTTACCCAAACAGTTAAGCAGATCAGAGTTGGATGACATGATTGACAGAGGACTTCGTCGAAGATCGTGTCGCACGCCCATCATCCCAAGTCAATTGGCCATCGTTGGACCAATATCACAGCTGGCAGAAAAAGTGTCTCTCATGAATGATATGGCCAGTGTATGTGATCTTGTAGTGCCGCAGAGCACGGTGCCAGAAAAACCAGAAAAGCCTATAAGGCAGCTTTATTCCACAGAGTCTTCCAGGGCTCTGAAGAAGAGCGGAACAGAGAATGTTTCTTGGAAAATGAGACGAAGGCTTTCTCTCCGAAAGGTACCGTATATCAGCGAAATCGCTAAGTACGTGTCCTCTCTGCTTTCTCAGTTAGGAGAGACCATCCAAACATTCAAGGTGACTTGAAGCAAGGTTAGATTATAAGTAGGGAATGGGAGTTCCGTAAAGAATGATGTGATCATTTGTCTCACTCTAGTAATTTTTTCAGCAAGAATATTGAGTACCAGAAAAACTCTTATGTTGTTATGGGAGTAATTGAAGAAAGGTTGTTGTGCTTCTCAAATTGAAAATTTGAGTATAGGTTATTTCGTTACATGCTGGGATCTAGCTAACTGTGTTAAAGTGGAAAGTCAATATGATATTACTACTTTTAAGAAGGACTTCCTTATGACACCTGCAAAGCAACAAAATAGCAAATAATTTTTTCCAGTTAAGTAAGGTCGAGTTTAGTAAGAATTTCATGTCTAGTAAAACATTGTACATACAATGTCTGGCGGTAGAAATGACATATAGAAGTAGGAAAAAGTATTTTTTAAGTTTGACATAAGGTATATGTTGTCTTTCGCAAGTAATATATATATATCTCATTAGACGTTTTGGTGTGTAGTATCGCTGAGTATTTTTACGAGTTGTGCCGTATTTTTATGAGCCCACAGGGCGAGTCAAAATACAACTGACAACGAACAAAGTAATGAATTGGTAAGATTTAGTTTTGCGGTTCGTGGCTCATAGGCAGTTAGGCTATGAGCCATAAACCACGTAAGTAGGTTCGTAAGGTTTAGGAGCAATCTCAAGAAGTGCGACCAACCATTAACCACCACCTAGCATCTCTTGACAGTTCCAGAGAAACACCTTAAGCCCATGTATTTTTTTTCTTTTTGCTCTAAACTTTACGCAACAGGAGTTGCTTAAACTAAGCATGGGTAAATGTTGAAGAATAACATTACAGGATCTGTTGACCCAAGTTGAACTAATTATAGTTCATTTAGAATCGGTATTTTATCTTTAAATTGTTATAGTTTGCTTCGAATGTTGTCATACATCTTTTGGTAACCTGGTGTTGCAAAACCTGGCTGTTATCATCAAAACGTAGTTGAATAATTGATTATTGCTCATTTTTGTTTTATAATGCATTTGCAAGCTTAATCTTAAAGAGGTGCTTTGAATTCGGGATTCGTTTTTATATACGCTAGGGATAACTCATGTAGAAACAGTAATTTAGTTATTTAGAGATTGATTTTTGGTATGGTTTTTAGTGCGAACGGAGATTACTAACTTAATATAAATGCTGATATCGATTTGTTTTAAAGTAACCTCTACCCTTTTTCCAAATTAAGAAGCTAAGTAAATATTTCAGTCTCATTCCCTTTTGACTTCATTTTGGTCTTTCATTATTTCTTCCTGAAATGTTTAGAACTACTGATCCAGGAACAGTATAAGGTGTCTTTTTGCTACGCCTGTTGAAGCCATACCAAACCAATGTTTTTGCAACTAATAATGCTTTTCTTGTCGCCATTGTTTTACAACTTTCAAGGTGTCATTTCTACGGTGGCCCACAGGTGACAGCTGCAAACAAATGTATATTGGTGCAAACAAATACACGTGGATGTAAACAAATATATCTTGATGCAAAAATAATAAAACATTGCGTAAAATACATAAATGTTGCTGCAAATTAGTAAAAGCTCTGACAAATAAAAGCAAAAATTACGGAAAATTAATAAATACTGCTGCAAACAAAAAAATATTATTGTTCCAAACAAATAAAAGTTGCTGCAAATAAGTTTAAGTTGCTGCAAACAAAAATTGAAAACCTCTGCGCGCGCAGTAATCGGAAGAGACTGGCACGAGCTGTTTAATATAATGGCGGGAATGGCGATGCAGTAATGACTAGCACGAGTAAAGATGTTTTGTACCCATTGCGCTGCGGAAGTTCTCTCCATAGCCGCGAACTTTTGTTATTCTTGTGGTAAAGAGCTTAATGAAAAAGCAGATGAGACAAAATCTGAGATGAGTGATGATTCGTCTGCAGTGCCAGCAAATGATTTAATAACAGAAATGCTCAATCGCGGTTACCGTTACGATGTTATTGTTCATTTACTCGAGAACAACGGCTACAAGATGCACTTGAGAACACTTAAAAGAAGGCTGATTGATCTAGGACTGAAAAGAAAAGGAAAAACAGAAATGGACGAATCCGAGATTGAATTACTTATTAGAAGAGAAATCGAAGGTGCAGGAAGACTTGCAGGTTACAGAAATATCTGGCATGCCTTGCGTTTAAGACACCATGTGCATGTCCCTCGTTCTTTGGTTGCCCTTTTGATGAAAAAAATCGATCCAGATGGCGTGCAAGACAGAAGAGTCAGACGCTTGACGAGACGAAACTATCTATCTCCAGGACCAAATTTTTGCTGGCATGTAGACGATAAGCAGTCTACCAGCAAGTCATGAATTTTATATCAGAAATCTAATAGGAAGAACTACGTCTTATAGCTAATAAGTTTTCTAGTTATTTCATTTTATTTAGGCTATTGAGGGGATAGAAAGCTTTCGATTCCTTAAAAACGTAGTAATATAAATTAAATAGATTTTGAATTGCAGCTTAAAAAAAATCAATGCGATCTGCTGTCCTATATGTTAAAAAAAGTATTTTACTCTTACCTGAAGCCACCCTGGTTTTTTCAAAAAGCCCATTGATTCATTCTACCCATTCATCTTCAGGATATGACAAGCTCAAGTCGTATGGATTTCCCATTCATGATTGTATTTGTGGGTATAGCAGGAGAATTCTTTGGCTTGAAGTGGTGAAATCTAATAATGATCTAAGGGTTCCAGCAAAGCTTTATTTAGACACAGTTCAAAGTTTGAAAGGTTGTCCAAAGATTGTAAGATCAGATTGTGGAACAGAAAATGTGACCTTGGCGGCCATACAATGTAGTCTTAGAGCGACACATCAAGATGAATATGCTGCACATATTCACAGGTATGGCTCTTCTCCAGCAAACAAACGGATTGAAGGTTGGTGGTCTTTCCTGAAACGCAGCAACTCTAGCTGGTGGATTTCCTTTTTCAAGGATATGTCCAAGTAAGGGTTACTCAATTTGGGTGACACTTTTTACTTGGAATGTTTGTGGTTTTGCTTCGCCAAAGTAGTCCAGGCTGATCTTGATAAAGTTAAAGGTCACTGGAATAGCCATCATATAAGGCCTTCAATGCATGACACAGTCTCAGGAGTGCCAGATGTCTTGTTCTTTTTACTTGAGTATTCAGGAGCTACTGATTGTCTCATACCTGTAACACAAGCTCAAGTAAATGAAATGGACCAGTATTGTGAACTTCCACAGCATATAGAAGAATATGCAGAATATTTTGAATATGTTTGAATGGTTAAAATTGACAAAGATTGCCTCTTCATGGTCTCTCTTGATGTTTCCTACAGGACAAGTTGAAAAAGTCTCATCAATCAGTTCTGCACTTAGCAACCTCAAAGCAACAGCAACAGTAGCAATAGCAAGTAGCAATAGCAACTGTACTCTCTTTGCTTGATTGGGATGTGCACATAATAGATTGAGAACTCCATGCAACTCCAGACCCTTTATAAACTGATCCAACCCTGCTTGACAGCATGAAACCACATAGTGAAGAGCCACATATCTTACCAATTCTTCTTTATCTTCAACATTGACAACTAATTTACAATATCCAGCAGACAATCTCTCTAGGAAATTGAAAGATGCCTCCTGTACAAACATTTCAGGGTTGGTGATTGCTTCAAGTTCTTCCAACTTCTTTCTTACTTCATAATCAGGAACTTCACTTCCTGATGGGTGTACCTGGTTCAAATCTTCAAACAAAATTTATTCTGTTACAGCTCTGGAAAAAACTTGACAACCTGGTGAACCTTGTAGCAATGCCATTGCTACACACTGTCCATACAGATGGTACTCATTTTACTGAAGAAGAACCATGTTATGAAGGAAAGTTTGATACCTTGGTCCACCTTCAATTGCAGATTCTCCAACAAACTGGACCTTCACATGTACATTTAATTCTCTGGCTTGTTTGCAAGCTTGATTTGAAGTCCTTCCCTGCCCATTTTCTCCTAACTTTCACTCTGAGATACTCCTCCTTGTGAAAGCCACTTGCTATCTTTAAAAGTTCCTGTGTAAGATAAATCAAATTCATCAACTTATTAAAACCCAAAAATCATTGATTATACCTTGATGTGATTAAGGCTTGAAGGACTTTTCACAAACAGGGTATTTTCTCATCTTGTCAAACAAATAAATGGGGAGCAAAAAACTACATGTGCTGAAAAACAACATGTACATTTTGTGTTTAAGTACCTCTTTTAGGATCCCTGCATCTATGAGGGTATTTATTTTGGTATTAACACTGGAATACTTTGTCCTCATCAACATCATCACCACCATCATTATCACCATCATAGATATCAAATTCCAGGCAAGATGCATACTGATCTTGCAGTTGTTGGACATCAGATGTTGACTTCATTTTGTTCAAGAGAATATTAGCACATTCATTTATTGATTCCTTTCCTTCTTTCCATGCATCAACGATGTCTGAGAGAGGCAAATGTTGGAAAATATCCCTTAGGGTCTTGAATCTTGGGTTGGAATCATAGGGATGTTTCTGAGGGAGCAAATAAGTAAATCAAGAAATTAAAATTCTGCAAGTTTTTAGCTTTAGCTATCTTCTCTAGGATGACAGTAAGTATTGTGCACTCACTGAAAGTAGATCTTAACACTTACTGGTCCAGTGATTGAGCTTGTCATGCAAAATATAGGAAATCTATAATTACAAGACATTGCATTATTAACTGTTGACTACCTGACCATCTTCAACACAAATAATATCACATTCTTGTACATCTTGTGCATCACTTGTACTTGTACTTGTGGTTGTACTGGTAATTCTGATAACTGTACTTGTACTTTCACTTGGATAAGGTAAGTAACTTGAGACATCAACCTGAGGTAAATAGCAACGAATTTAATTGCATTACACTTCAACACATACACTATAAAATTGTAGTGGTATACCAAAAATCATATAGGCAAACAAACAAAACCAGCTGAGCAAATTATTAACATCAAATGAAAAGAGGTAAGGGCAAGATTCATTCAGAATATTACTGGGAATAAAATAAGCGCATTAGATCATATACCCATGAATTTTGCGCTATATAAATAATAAAGTCATTAAATAAGGCAGGCAGGCAAGCGGTTAAAAGATAGAAAAAGAATTAACAATGCATAGCTACTGAACCAAAGCAAATATACTGATAGAAATTGATCAAGAGCAAATATTCTCTGATTATAGTATATACCTTGCTTGGAGCTAAAGACGGGGCACTTTTTGAAGACCTTTGTCCAACACTATCATCAGATTCTTCAACTGACTGACCTTCAGACTGATCTGAGGAATCAACGCCATCCGCAACGTAACTCAGGTAGTCAATGTTACTGCAGAGATAAAAACTTATTCGGGAGTATGGTTTCCCGAGTTCTTCTTTGTATTTCCCAAGAGTAAACTCGAGATCCTTTTGCCACGTGAAATCTCTTAGTACTTCTGACTTGTCGGGATAGAGGAGCTTGTATCCTAACGCTTTGTCGCTCTTGATTAAACTGGAATTGAAGCGATTTTGCTTCGCCACTGCTTTAGCTTTTAGTACCTCTGAAGTCGCGTTGGAAGGTACTTTCAAAGGTAAACTGCTTCCTCTCCTTGTCGCTAGCTCTCCATCTTTCCACATCATCACCCAAATCTGTATTATAACTTCACTTGCTTCAGTATTTTTGGAGCTCAGGGCATTTCCTTTAGCCTTCATGCAAAACTTCGAACCACATTCCTCTGCTTTCCGCTTTCTAAAGTCTTCTTAGGATAATTTTCGAGATTTGGCTCATCCGCTTTTTCATTAAGTTCTTTACCACATGAATAACAGAAGTTGGCGGCGTGGAAAGAACCTCGGCAGCGCAATGGGTACAAAACATCTCCTCTTGGGTTAATCATTACAGCATCGCTATTCCCGCCATTTTGAGCCATTCTGAGCCGGTCAGCATTAGATTCCATCCACCAAAACCACCTCGGTCGAGAGGGACTGAGATGGAATATTTAATGACTTGCAAAACATAACCGAAGATTCTCGGAAATCCGCAAGTGATGTAGCCGAACATTCGAAGCTGTAGATCCCATGATTCTTGAGGAACAAAAAGAAACAGCATAGCTAGAATTTTAAGTCGCGAACCATTGATGGTAGACATGCAGATAATTTAGGATACATCAATTCTGTTGATGAGGCGCATAAACTTGTTGCGGAATTTGAAACAGGATTGACGACGAAGTTTTCTTTCTTTAAAGCTGTCAAAGGTTTCTGAAACACCGATGTGTGTGTATATATATATATATATATATATATATATATTGATATAGCTCTTTGGCATTACAAAGCTTTGCTATCGCTATTGTGCATTCTCACTAGTTTATCTAGTTCAAGTCCTCAGGCATGGCTTGGATGATACCACAATTGTGGAATCATTCGGGTTAAATTAAAATGCCTACACCTCCTTCCTTGGACAGAAGTCACAAAATACTCGTGGAAGAAGCATGAGATATTTAAGGAGCAAAAATTCGTTTTTTACTGGTGTGCCTTTCCTAATTTTGGGAAGGAAAGTGTTCAATTGCCAGCACGGCATAGATAGAACAGCTGGAGAGAAAACGAAACGAAAAGATGCAGAAGAAGTACTGTATATAATAATTTCTTTTTATCCTCAACCTTTGAGTTACTGTCAACTATGGCTTGCTAATTCGAAAGGTCAAATACATGAATGGGTCATATGACATTGATCTCTGAATACTTTAATGACAAACGTGATAACAGTTCAATCTTGGCTAAATTGAAGATGGTTTAGAAGTTAACAATTATAAGAACTTTTCACTAACATATGCTGCTGACAAAGGAGAAAATATATGCAATTCTGCATTTTTTGCTTTCTATCAAGCAATCATATGTTGGCTTCTTATCACGCTATGACACTTCCGTTTTGTCACATTCCAAAAAATAACTTGAGAAATACACTGTCACTCATCTTACACTGTTATATTTACCTATTACAGAAGGCCGGAAACAAAGATTTTGTTTTCAAGAAAATAAGATTTCTTGTCCAAGACACAAGGAAGTTTGACTGCAAAGCACAGATAAAAATGTGAGAAATTTTATTTTTTTCAGAGAACAAGGTAGTTCTACTCATGTATAAACAGAACAAATCTGGTTTAATAAATCAGACATGCAGCATGACTCCTTTTCTTCCATCTCCACTCAAAACAAGCAAACACACCTATAGAGGTTCCAGTCTGGTCTGCAAATGAAAAGGAGGAAAGTGATCTCTGCAAAAATAAGCATTAGGGTTCTTATTTATAACATATTGATTATTGTATACTGATATCAAGAAATTAAGGTTGCAAGTAGCAGCCAGCAGACGGAGTTATAGTTTGAGTTTTATCAAGTCCATTACTTTGTTAAATTTAGAGTAACCTTGTCTTGAGAGAGGGAAATTGAGGAGCTGTAATATTCTTATCATCAATTAGGGACCACAAAGAAAAATTTATTATAGAGACTTTTGAAGGAGAGGGGTAAGACTTGTGACAAGCTGGCAGACATATAGATAAACTTTACTGCTAAATGGGTTACAATATAAAGTACTCAGTATTTGGATCAGCTATGGCTCAACTTAAACTTTGCTTTAGCTTCAATTTAATCATTTGTGGTTTCCTTTCACTGTGTTTATTTTTCAAGTTATGTTACACAGAAGAACAAAAAAATGACAAGGAATGCTTTTGAATATTAAGAGGCTGGAATAAGCTAGAAACCAAAACTGAATTTTAAACAGTACAAAGTTAATTTGATCTTCCAATGTTATTTAATTTTAACCATTAATAGAATTTGCTATTTTAATTTATCCCCTCCATTTTTCTGGATATTGTGAGCAAAAACAAACAATTATCACAAAATGCGTGGTATACAATGGTTTGATTCACCAATGTGGCAAAGGCCTTTCACTGTCTATCCATAAAAAGGGAAATAATTTGTAAAATGTAAGACATTCTGCATCTTGAGTGTATACTTATTCATCCATGTGAAATTAAAGGTTACTTGAAATAAATGTGAAAGATTTATAGGATTTTCAGACCCCTGATAACAATTACTGATGTGCTGATTTGTTGTACTTAAAGGTTATGATTTTAGCGGAAATAGTGGGAGAAATTTCTGGACCTGGAATTTTGATGCAAATGTCTGTTTAAGTCAGTTTAAGTCAGTTAAAAACTCTCCTGTTTCAAGATTACATGATTGCCACACAAGAACCTT